CCTGAGGAGGAAACTCCTGTTGAGCAAGCTGACATGTTTGTACCTCCGAGGCGTTCCACACGGGTTAGGAACACACCTTCGTTTTATTATGGCTTTCATATTACTACGGAAGGTGATAGTACACTGGTAAATTTGGATGAACCTAGCAGTGTTAAGGAAGCCATGGCAGGCCCAGAGTCTGCTAAATGGAAGGAGGCTATGGACAGCGAGATACAGTCCATGTATGACAATCAAGTTTGGAACTTGGTTGACCATGTACCTGGCCGTAAAACAGTCGGGTGCAAATGGATCTTCAAGAAGAAGACCGACATGGAAGGAAAAGTGCATACTTATAAGGCTCGACTGGTTGCAAAGGGTTTTACTCAGACTCAGGGTATTGATTATGATGAAACCTTCTCGCCGGTAGCCAAGATTAAGTCTATTAGGGTTATGCTAGCCATTGCAGCATTTCATGATTATGAAATATGGCAAATGGATGTCAAAACCGCTTTCCTTAATGGAAAGTTGGCTGAGGATGTGTACATGAATCAGCCAGAGGGTTTTGTCAGTGCAGAGTACCCTAATAGAGTATGCAAGCTTGAGAAATCCATTTATGGATTGAAACAAGCATCTCGTAGCTGGAATCTTTGTTTCGATGAGAAGGTCAAAGAGTTTGGCTTCTCGAGAAGCGAAGATGAGTATTGCGTGTATGTCAGAGCTAGTGGGAGTATAGTTAGCTTCTTGGTACTGTATGTGGATGACATACTACTTATAGGAAATGACATCCCAACCTTGCAGGAGGTTAAGTCCTGGCTTGGGAAGTGCTTTGCTATGAAGGAACTAAGGGAGGCTGCCTATATCCTAGGGATAAGGATATTAAGAGAAAGGAGTAAAAGACTAATTGGACTTAGTCAGAGTACTTACTTGGATAAGGTGTTGAATAGGTTCAACATGCAGAATTCCAAGAGAGGAGATTTACCGATCCAAAGCAATGCCAAACTAAGTAAGACTTAGAGTCCGTGTACAGAGGCAAAGATAGCTAAGATGAGCCAACTACCGTATGCTTCCGCTGTTGGCTCGATCATGTATGCTATGACTTGTACCCGCCCTGATGTGGCATTTGCTTTGAGCATGGTCAGCAGGTATCAGGGGAACCCTGGCAAGGCTCATTGGACCGCGGTAAAGAACATTCTCAAGTATCTGCGGAGGACTAAGGATTGGATCCTTACCCTTGGTGGGAGTGATGACTTGAGAGTATTAGGGTATAGTGATGCTGGTTTTCAGACTGATAGGGATAACTTCCGCTCTCAGTCGGGCTGGATCTTTACCTTAAATGGAGGGGCAATTTCTTGGAAGAGTTCCAAGCAGGAGACAGTGGCTGATTCGACTTGTGAATCAGAGTATATAGCAGCGAGTGAAGCAGCAAAGGAGGCGATATGGCTAAAGAACTTCATCGGAGACCTTGGAGTTGTACCAGCTATTAAAGAACCTATGGAGATTTTCTGTGACAACAATAGTGCGGTTGCCTTAGCCAAGGAACCAAGAGATCATGGCAGATCCCGACACATTGACAGAAAATATCACTTCATAAGACACAAGATTGAAGAAGGACTCCTCGTGGCAAGGAGGATATCGTCGGATGAGAATCCTGCATATCCCCTTACGAAGGGACTGACGAAGGTTAAGCATTTTCAGCATGCGAGGCGCATCGGGCTGAGGGACGATATTAGTTTTACAGATTAGATAGTTTTCCTGAAACTTGTAAAATGTAATCGACGTTTTGATGATGAATAAAATTTGTGATTTATTTATGAGTAAAGTGTTACTATCATTGTCAATTATTTACTATTGTTTTAGTTTTGCATGTTTTGACTTCCAGAATAATGAATTTATTCAAACCTCCACAATCGGTCATACGTCGGAAGTAGGTATGAATCAAGATTGTCATGAATTGGGTTTGTAGATGGCTAAAGGTGTTTAGACATGGCAATGGTTGCTGCAACATTCATGAGTACTCATAAGTTATGAGTATTGGTACAAACCCACGCTCACTTGTATCACTTCATGGAATTTATCTCGAGTGATCGTGAGACGATAATATCATATAAGTCTACAAACCTAGAGATATGAGTTGTTACCTATGAGTTGCACGAAACCGCATCAGTAACTTGATGTTATAAAACGTGCCTTTGTGTACAATTCAACAAGTAGTAGAACAAGCATATGAGTCGAAGTTTATCTGTACCTTCTAGAAATAGAAGCGATATCTGGGCCCCTCGATGATTTTGTGTTGACCCATGTACCGGGCCCGGTCAAAACTAAACTGATGTGTTCAGTGAAGTTCTTAGTCAAACAAATCGGAAATCGAGAAACAACTGCCAGACAATAAGTAAGACATAGTTCCATGTGTTTGTCCGGCTGATATCATGAGAACGGAGGATTATATGATCACTTTTCTTAAAATGGCGCTTCATAGTTCAACGGAGTTTTCGAGAGCTACGATTGCTGGTTGGTTCCTGAAGTTATATAGGCAAATACAGTTATTAGACTTATCCAAGTGGGAGTCTGTTGGATAAGGTGTCTAAGTCCATAACTTATTTGGTATATACTTGACCCGACCAGCATGGTCCATTTGGGTTGCATCTCATCCAAACTATTTATGGATAATTTTATGAGAGTTATACACATATGTTTATTAATATATTATAAGTTATAATATATTAATATGAGGTTATATTATTTAATTAGTATTAGTCTTAAATTAATTATGAATTAATTTAGAGATTAAAAGAAAGACTAATTAGATTATGGGCTATTGATTTTATATGGTGTGGGCTAACACTCATTTGTTAATGGGCTAGGCTTTGATGGAAATCCATGGAGCTTTTAACCCATGGATCCTTGGAAAGGAAAGGTCATGGGTTATTATGGTTTCACCCTAACCATGTACACTATATAAGCATGCTTATGGTGCATGAAATGGCAACTAGTGAACTGGTGTATGTATGCTTGTGTGTGGCCGAAAATAAGGAAGTGTGTGTACTCTCTCAAAGTTTTCCAAGAGTTTGTGGTGTTTTGTGATTCCATTTGAGGCATTCACACTATTGGTGCTTGGCCCTCAAACTCCTTAAGAACCAAACTCATCAAAAAGGTATGTAATCTCTTCTAACTCTTTTATGTTGAAATGTTCCCCATGCCATGTTAGATAGGTTATAAACCTTGGAAAATTATTATTTTGCATGTATTTAGACAAACATAGATCCAAGGTTTATTAGGGTTGCATGCACACTTAGGAAGTGTTAGATTGCTCAAAACCCAACAACTTTATCTAAGTAAGTCTTCTGACTAAGTCCTATTAGTCTCTTACTTCGTTCCCTCACTATCCTTATTCCAAAAATATAGGAAGCCTCTCCGAGGTCCTTCATAGTGAAGCACTTTCCGAGCAAGGACTTAACCTCCTGCAGTGTCGGGACGTTGTTTCCTATGAGTAGTATGTCATCAACATACAAAACGAGGAAGCTAACTATACTCCCACTGGATTTGACATATACACATGATTCATCTTCGCTTCGTACAAATCCAAAATCTTTGACTTTGTCATCGAAGCAAAGATTCCATCTGCGAGATGCTTGCTGAAGCCCATAAATGGACTTCTCAAGCTTGCACACTCTATTTGGATGCTTCGTATCGACAAAACCCTCTGGCTGAGCCATGTAAACATCCTCAGCCAACTTCCAATTAAGGAAAGCGGTCATGACATCCATTTGCCATATCTCATAATCATGAAATGCAGTAATGACCAGCATCACTCTAATAGACTTTATTTTCGCAATTGGTGAGAAGGTCTCATCATAGTCAACTCCGGGAGTTTAAGTAAAGCCCTTCGCAACCAATCGTGCTTTATATGTGTGTACATTTCCATCCACGTCGGTCTTCTTCTTGAAGATCCATTTGCACCCAACGGTCTTATGTCCGGGCACATTATCAACCAAATTCCAAACTTGGTTATCATGCATGGATTGAATCTCCCTGTCCATTGCCTCTTTCCATTTTGCAGACTCTGGGCCTGCCATGGCTTCCTTATAGCTATTAGGTTCATCTAGATTTATTAGTGTACCATCACTAATATACGTGTCCCCTTCGGTAGTAATATGAAAACCATAAAACTGGGGTTGAACTCTAACTCTTTCGGAACGTCTAAGAGGTAAGGACTCGTCAATTGGTTCAACCAGATTTTCCTCCTCTGGTTGAGCGCCAGCAGCAGAGGTTCCTTCATCACTCGATTCTTGAATCTCTTCAAGCTCGATTTGCCTCCCAATGTCTCCTTGGCTTATGAATTCTCGCACTACAAGAAAAAGAGCCTTTTACGACGCGCAAACAATGACACTCGTTGATTTATGTTACGCAAATGAGAGTGACATTAAAAACGTGTTATCTCTTCAAAATATTTAAGGATTTAGATCACACATTAATGCGTGCCCTTAAAATAGTGTCAAAAGAAAAAAAAAAAATTAAAAACACGGAGGCGCTGTATCTTAAATGGGCGTCCTCTGTAAGTGTCGCTTTATAATTTTAATGAACGCACGTGTTTAGTAAATATGGGGGAAAATGAAATCCCCAAAATTTTGAAAACCCGCCTTGTTCTTTTCTACTTCTTTCTTTCTTTCATCTTCGCAATCATCGGATCTCTACTCTAGTGTCACTCTGAAGATCAACAAATTTAAAGCACTAGTCTCCCTCTGAGACCGAGACGAAAAGAGAAGAAACATGAAGAATGCACCTATAGTTGTTACGACTTATGATGGTTCTCAAAGCTTCTCAAAGCTTTTGATAAGAACACCGACTCAGATGCTTCTCAAAGCTTTTGATAAGCACCCTGCCGGCTTTGCATACCGAAACATCGCATAATCTTCTGTTTATCCGCCTGTGTTTCTTGCAAAAGGTGTATTTTTCGTTCTCTAAACCTCACTCCATATCTCGATTTGATTTTTAGCCCTAATTTCAATTCCTAGATTTTACAGATGCTCGCACGCCTTTTTCGGTCATCCTTCTACCTTGGTGTTGTTTCTTTCATCGATCCTTCCGATTGGTCTTCTTCTTCATCACCATCTAGTGAAAGACTCGTCGATTATGGCGATTATGGCGATTATGGCTTCTGTGATTCTCTCCTCTTCGGCTCTCCAATCTCCAATTTCACTCTAAAAACATCGATTGAACTTCTCGCTTCCCCGATCGTCTACCAAAAATAAATGTTGTGTGATTTCTAGGGCTCGTAACAACCTCCTCTATCTTACATTGAAAATCATTTCACCCTCCTATCGCTGACCCTTTTGGAGCGATTTCTAGGGTTTAGATCAACATTAACCCTTATCGATAATCCATATGATGCACTCATTGCCTTTTGTTACCTTTCGAGAATTCTCTTGATGTACCAGCTGAAGCAATTTGGCTTAATACATATGAAAGATTATCACCATGCTGGAAATCCATTCGTCCTTCCTTCTTAGGTAAATCATTCGTCCTTCCTTCTTAGGTATTGACTGTAGGTTTTGTTTAATTTTCTTTCAATTAATTCAGATTCTCATGTTAATCCATATGAAAGTAATGTCCAGGTTATGAATCTGATGTCGAACTAAATAATTTAACTCATAAAGTGATCATTTGTTAAGCTGTTTTAAGCAAAATCAGCTTTCAAGATTAGGAATCTTATATTGGACTAATTGATTAATCTCAGTGAATTAATTGAGTTTTTGGGAACAAATTTAATGCTCAAGGACCTCATATAATAAGGGCAAATAGAAATCAACATCTTTCTAGGATATTGTAACGATTACTAAGGGCAAATAGGTAATTTTGGTGCCTGAAAAGATATTTTTTTGTTTCAGGAATGCTTAGACGACCTAGTGAGGTGCTTGGGAAAGTACACGTAGCTACAAGGATATGGGGTTCCAACGTCTTTACTTCCATTTGTAGTAAGTAAAGTTGATGTGTGATGCAAAACCTATTCTGACTCTTCTTGATTGAAGCATGTGGAGTCTGAACTTTCAAGCACTATCAGTTCATTTATATTGTTTGGTCATACTTCCCTTTGACTCTAATATTTATATATTCCTCCCTACCCTTTTTTTTTGCTACAGACTCGAGTGATTGCTACAACAGCTGCTGGTGTTGCTGCTTATGGATTACCACCAGAGGTTTCTAAAGTAGAAGTAGAGAATGCTGCTCAGCATTCTGTGGCTTTGGTTGACTGCAATTATGGTGTTAATGCTTTTTGAAGATCATTTATGCCTACAAAGCAAGCTTTTTAGTTTCTCCCTCGTTCAAGGGGGTTCTGGTTCTTCTCTTCCATCTGTGGTTCGTGTTGGTGACAGCACAAATCAACCCATGTTGCGTCTTCAGGTAATGAATTTCCATTGTTGTCACCTTTTGTTGCATCTTCAGGTAAATCTCCTGGATTATCCTCAAACTGTTTCCTTCTCATCTTCATTTTATTTATTTCCCATGTCAAGAAATGAATGATTGAGAAGATTGGATTCAGCATCAACTACTACCCTAATTATGGCTTTTGAGATTAAGTGAATGTCTTTTATCCCATTAAAATCTTTGTGAATGAATTTGACAAGCTGTGAATGAAAAAGAGAAGGGTTAAATTAGATTATTAATTAGCAAGAGATCAATGAAACTTTGGTTTCATATTTGTATATAATTACAGAGGGAATGTGCAATTTCACATACTTCTTTGTTACGAATCTTGTGTAATTTCCTAACAAGTGTCTCCCCTGAAGCAAGTGCCTCAGTTAGTTTCTGATCTTTCCCTTCTTCTTCTGATAATCGTGAGAAAATATATAAACAAATCATGTTAGTTAAACAAATAATTGAAATGAATATACGCACAAAGATTATTTTCAAGAAACGAATTATAGAACTGAAATTTCTGTGAAAAAACAGATGAATCCGTTGAAGTAACGTCACTAACTCAAAGACGTTCATCAATAGTAGCTTGGATTTTAAATTTAGATCATGATTATATATGAACAACGTTAATTGCAACTTTCTTTTCCAGGAAATCAACCACGAATCATATAAATCGGATTACTACACACAAATACTTAGGTCAAGAACCCCAGCACAACATAAATCTCTTGAAATTCAATAGAAATGGAAACCTCACCATAAATGAGAGAAAGAAAAAACAAAGATCCATCAAGTTCTTGAACATCGAGGTTATAATCAAACAAGCAAAACTACAGGTTTTTCTTTATTCTAGTTGTTTTCTTTCATAAGATCCAAGCTATATATGCTATTAGAAAAGTTTATATATCGTCCCATACTTTTTCTCTTGTTATCTACAGATGATCCATAGATGTTGGGATAGGAATGATATTAAATTGCAGCAGTTAGAGCAATGGAGAGAATGGATGATCATTCTGTGAGTGTAAAAAAAAATCTCTTCTTATTGCATGCATCTCTTGGTGATTGATTATTTTAGTGTTGACTCCCAATCCATAGATGTTGGGATGATTTCCAGATGTGACAAGAGAGTTGCAAAATAAGAGCTCAAGCCACCATTCTGCTTCATCAAGTTCTGAGTTTCACTTTTGACAATTGTTGAGGATCATGTTTTTGGATGGTTTCCAGATGTCACCTATGTGAATTCTTTGTTTTACCCTTTATTAGGCCATCTAGACAAAACCTATAAGACTTTTGCTTTAATAGTATCTGGGCCCATCAATACTCAATTCGTATCATTACTTCCGCCTTCCAAAAGTATTGTCCTCAAGACTCGTTTCAAGAAATTGGATCTGAATTGCCCATGCTTCCTCCCCTGTAGCATCTTCAGCCAGACGCCCTTTCCACCAAGCAATGATAGAACAGGAAACAAGAAAAATGATGGGAATCCTCCAATCCGAAGCACTCAATTCCGCATCTGATAGGAAAACTTGTTCAAAGAAAGATCTCATTTCTTTTTTTATGCAATTTATGCTTATCAGCTAAAATATGTACCAATTCCATTTCTTGTGATGCACAAATATCATGCCAAAATTCATGTGCCTTGTAACCTTGTAGTTATTTAATTCTTATACATGTGATTAGCTCCAGCAATACAAGTCTAAAAGTGTATATGTCCACCTTTTCTGTTATTGGTTCTCCATCGAAGTATTCTAGTGCTAGATACCATGAAATTCCAATGAATCGCTCTTCCTCATTGTATGTATCATGTTCAGTGAGCAGGCTGAAGAGCCCAATATAAGCACCCAAAAGTTTATAATATTGGGTTAAGGGAATGTTTTTAGGCTGCTACATGTTTATGTGAACTATCCATCCCACCCTGCAATCTTCATGAAAGTACCATAATCATGTTGTTTCAATTGCTATTATCAACTGTGATGACCAATCTAAGTTTGTTCCCTTGTTCACCTGTAAATGAAATGTTAATTTTTCTCATTATATATATATATATATATATATATATATATATATATATATATATATATATATCAAAGTCACAAAATAAGTCAGATTGATTAAAAGAAATGTTAAATTTATTTACAAGTTGCTTCTTTTTCATCAAATTTTTAAATACAGGGGACTAGGGTTGGAAGTTATGATGCAAAAGGATGTTTTAGTAAGTGTTTCAAGTTTTTTCTTCCAAATTATATTTTTTAATTTAGTCAAATAACTTTTTTTATTATTTCTTTTCATTTTAGATATTGGACTTCCATCAGGAAAGTCACTTTTTTAACTTCAGGCTGAAATAATTATTTGTCTCCAAAGGTTAGCAACTCAATCAATAAACGAAGGTAATATTTAACTATTTAATTATTTATTAAATAAAATATATTACGTTTAAGCCCTTTTCACGTGCTTATTTAAAATTTGTAGATTTGTTTTTGGGAAACTTTTTATATTTATTTTTGGAAGCTATTTGTTGTAGGTCACATTCTTTTCACAAGGCACAATACCTTGTGTTTCAAAAGATGGTAGATTTATTATGGAATCTCCATGCAAGGGATGATTTGTAACATATTTTTATTTTGCATTTTGATGAATATAAAGAAAATGTTGAATTGTTTTTTGGGTTTGGTCCAAGGGCAAAATGGTCGTTTTTGAAAAAACCAACTAACAGCCAAAAAGTAAACCCGTCCAAGAGAGGGACCAAACTTGGAATCAACCAACATCATAAGGACCTTTTTTAGAAAAATCTTTATTTATTTATTTATTTATTTATTTATATTATATAAAATATAAATAAATAAATAAATAAATAGTAGTTAGGATACCTTTCTTCAGCAATGTTGTCCACATAAAATATTAATATTACACCAAAGAGAATGGTTATTGGAAAAGCCCAAACAGAAAATGGCTAAACTTACTACAATCATGTCCTACATGGCTACAGGAAACAAAAAGCAAGTGACAGATGCAATAGTTCTAGCATGAAGCCTTCTTTTTAGTTGATTCTGCAAATTAAAAATATATGTTAAATCATGTTTTAGTTATTAGAAATTGTAAAAAAAAGATGTTTCAAGGTGTTTAAATACCTTGAGTGAGATACGTCTTATGTTGTGTTTACAGGGATGATGACAAGTTATTTTGTGTTGTGTTTACAAGGTTGATGAAAACGAATAGCTCTGGAGTTAGAAGAGGAAAAGAAATCTCACGCTGAAAGAGATAAGTTGCTGCAAATGCAAGTGTTGCATTCTTCATTTCAATTGTTAGTATCAAACATAGAGTAGATTAGATGAATGCAAATTTATATATTGTAAGAAATAGAATTGTATAACATCAAATTTTATACAATGGATTGTATTTTTTCTGTATATGGTATTTTATTTCTCTTATGACACATTAAATGCACATTTAATTTAAAAATTAATAAATAGATAAATACATTTTTTTTAAATATTTAAATTTACGATACGCAAAAATGTGTATCATCTTCATTTATGACATGGCCTTTCTTGACAGGGGCTTTCTTGATACGCATTGCGTGTCATTAACACGTGCGTCGTAAGGTTACGACACGTGAATGCGTGTCGTCTTCCTTTATGACCGGGCCATCCTTGATACGCATTGTGTGTCGTAAACGCGCGTCGTAATTGCGCGTCGTAAATGAGCGTCGTAAATGCGCGTCCTCTCTTTTTATGACAGGGCCTTCCTTGACGCACATTTGCGCGTCGTCTGAGCCTTTTACGACGCCCAATGAGCATCGTAAAAGGCTGTTTTTCTAGTAGTGTCGCTCTCGGAAAACCCCTCTCCTCGCAACGAAGACAACATTGTCATTCGGTCTATAAAAGAGATATGCAAAGGATTTCTGCGGGTAGCCGATGAAAACACACCGCTCACTACGAGGTTCGAGCTTGTCGTGAGTATCTCCTCTTACGAAAGTCTCGCAACCCCAAACCTTGATATGTGCCAACAAGGGAGCTTTCCCTGTCCACATCTCGTGAGGTGTTTTGGCAACCTTCTTTGTAGGGACTTGTTTAAGGATATGGGCGGCAGTCTCTAAGGAATACCCCAAGAATGAGATGGGTAGTGAAGCACGACTCATCATAGAACGAACCATGTCTAACAAGGTTCGACTACGCCTTTCTGCCACACCATTCATTTGCGGTGTCCTAGGTGGCGTCAATTGCGAAACTATTCCGCATTCTTTGAGATAGTCGTGGAATTCAAGACTTAGGTACTCTCCTCCTCGATCGGATCGAAGCATCTTGATTTTCCTGCCCAATTGATTCTCCACTTCATGTTTGAATTCTTTAAATTTTTCAAATGTATCTGACTTGTGCTTGATTAAGTAAATATACCCATATCTACTATAATCATCGGTGAAAGTCACATAGAAGCGATTCGCATTCTTTGTGGCGGATCTAAAGGGTCCACATACATCGGTATGTATGAGATCCAATAAACCCTTACCCCTTTCACAAGTACCAGTGAAGGGTGACTTGGTCATCTTTCCAAGCAAACAAGACTCACACGTTTCATCTTCCCTAAGGTCGAATGACTCCAACACTCCATCCTTTTGGAGTTGGGCTATCCGCTTCTTGTTAAGATGTCCAAGATGAAAATGGCACAAACATGCTTTATCCATACTATTGGAAGAATCCATGCATAAAACATCATTTCCTAGGTTATCTACAATCATAACAGTGTCATAAATTCCATTACAAGTCATTGCTTCAAAATATAAAACACCATTTAGATAAGCATAAATCAAACCATTATCATTATTAAACGAATATCTAAATCCTTGTCTAAATAAACCATGAAA